TATATATATTTGGTACAGGGTCTCACTACACAGCTCAGACCCATAGTGATCCTCCTGTTTTCAGCCTCCCCAGTGCTGGGATTACAGACATGCACCACACCCGGTCTCAGTGGCCAGCTCAGCACGCCCGGGGCAGAGCCATCGTGGCATGTGGTACCAGGGAGTGAACCCCAGTCCCTGCACTTGCCTAAGCAGCACTTAGTCCAATGAGCTATCGCGCCGCCCTAGAAGAAATCTTTCCCCTAGCACCCAATCCTCTTTCCTCACCTACCCCAGTGTGGACGGATGGAGCCAACACTGCAGTCTACACTGGAGTCCCCCTTATATAAGTTATTACGCACACCATGGAGCTACGCAAAGGAATCACTGCTTGACGACGCACAAATCTGCCACGTTAAATCTCTTCCCAGAACGAGCATTTTCCATATTTCTTTGGATATATGAAAAATCTGAAGGCATCTTTACAATTCTAATTCTATAACATGCCTATAAGCCCATATAACACCTAGCAAAAATTACTACTAAGAATCAAAAGTAAAGCATCAAATGTTAAGTAAGCCTTTACTGAAATTTAATTCTATAACTATACTTCCCTAACAGCCAGTTCTCAGGGTTTGCTGTATTTTCACCTTACCTTGATCATCCTGAGATATATATGCAAAGAAGCAGCCATCACCCCCACATCTCTGTCACAGAGCGCTTTCCGAAACTTGATGTGGATGTGCTGCACTTGGTTAGGGGCAATGAGATGGAACTTGTACAATGCCAGGACAGCTTTTCTTCGTACAATCTCCCTAAGGGCAAAAGGTAAAATCTAAGTAAGGTAATCCAAGTCTCTAGGCATTTGGTTTGGAGACCATGATCCAGATGATTTAAAAATCTGAGCTATAACAATCTGAAAAGCAACAGAGAAGAATACATTTAATATTAAATTCTTTTTTCTAATACACTAAACTATAAAAACTACTTATCTCTAGAAGGCACGATCTCAAGATATTTTAACTATGCATGTTATGTAGTCTCTAGTTATGGAATTTTTTAATAACATGCTTGTATTACTTTTGAAATCAGTTAAAACAAGCTAAACAACGCCTGCTTAGGCAGAGCACAGGGGCCAGGGTTTGATCCCTGGCATGCTGTGCCGGCCCTGCCCCTGGAGCACGCTGAGACTGTGGTTGAGACTGGGCGTGTTAGTGCACACCTGTAAACCCAGCATGTGGGAGGCTGAAAACAGGAGAATCACTGCGAATCCAATCTACGTAGTGAGACCCTAGAGATCCTTTCCTAAAAAAAAAAAAAAGCTAAACAAACTTCCTAATTCCCTAACTATACTTTCAAAAACCATCTCTAGAAACTGGGAAAGAGGCAGCAGTAAGTTTAAATCAGTAACAGGTAACTTCAGCTAGTAATATTAAACAATCTCTTTATTAGTACTCAAATTTTTTATGTGATAGGTAAGCATACTCCAAATATCTCTGGGTGAGGAGACACAAGGACTAAAAAGTTGTATCTCCCTTGCCCAGTCTACTTAAAACCTCAAAGGATATGAAGCAAAAATAAAAACATGTTACGCTACACTTTTTGGTTTATCTTCAGTGCTGGGTTAAAAACTCAAAGTATTGCACATGCTAGGCAAACAACCTAGCAGCTAAACTCCCAGTCCCAGGAATGTATTTTAATTTTTCTAAAATTATTTCTTTTAGACAGAGCCTCACTACATTGCCCAAGTTGACTTCAACTCAATCCTCCTGCCTCTGCCTCTCGAGTAGCTGCAGCTGGGATTATAGGCATATGCCATGATGCCCAGATCTCTATATTCTTAGCAGAGTTTTCAGTGAACTGTACTCCTTGTTGCTTTCTCTCTCATGCATACTTTTAGATTAGGCCAGCACTACTCAAAATAATAGCAAACAACACAAAAATGAAATGGGTCCCTTAATATAGACTGCTTTTACTCAAAATCATACAATCTAAAAATTGAGGTGTTCAAGGCAATACCTAATATTTCACTAAAGAATAGCTTTTTAAGAAGAAAAATAGGGGCCAGCCAAATAGCTTAGCGGATCAAAGCACCTGTAAGCAGGCGCAGGGTCTGGGAGTTTGATCAC